CACACACACACACACATCCATACACACAATATATATATATCTTTGTTTATATATATATATATATATTATACAAAGTATGATCACGCAGTATTTTGCGTAGAACATGATCCTACGTATCACGTAAGCGAGAATTTAAATGTATCTACAAGCTCATAGGCATATGTATACTTGTATACATTTGTTTAGAGGGGTATTGTATAAGTCTGTTCGCTTTCTATTTAATGTCTTGGATGATACTTGCGTTTAAATCACACAGTATACAGGATTTATTTATTTGTAGAGTTGAGGTCATATAAATATGTCATTCCATAATAATGTACACTGAATATGCAGTTTTCCAAGCTAAAACGACATTGTTTATATGTGCAATATATGCAAAGGTTCATAGGAAGTTACTGTCCAGCATAGCAAATACGAACGCATACCGTTGTACATATCTTGGCTACGTGTACATGCTATTCTTGAATTAGAAACGAATACGTATACCGTTGACAATTTCTTTGACGTAAACGCGTACGTACGGTTTCTGTATCGAGTACGCACAACCACTACATTGCCTTATATACGCATGCATGAAGATTACAAACAGAGTTGTATGTGTCTTATGTATTTCATTTATATGCTATCATGGGTACTAAGATTGGTTGGACGTTTGCAGTCCATACGGGCAATTTCTAAAGAGCCAAGTTCAAGTATAATTTCATGTACTTATTCAGATGTCATACAAATATGTGCACTTAATTTAAATACGTTTTAACATTGCTCTATGAATAGATATACATATCTTATCGCGGGTCGCAGATTTATCGTCATATATCTGTTTTCAGTATATATGATGATGCTGTGCATAATGTATACGTTCATTTTAACACAAAACCATAATTTCAGTCAGATTTGCAGAGTAAGGTGATATATGTATAGTGACAATGATATCTTGCAATTTGTTTCACCTGTTATTGAATAGTTATTATGTTCTAATAGGATACTTGTGTATGTTTTGATGGTGATGTATGATTTACAAAGAACTTACGCCATCACTTTATTCTCACTAAATCCCCTTCTCACTGTTATCTTTGATAGATTGCTTCTACGTAGAGGATCTTCCGGATCTCCCTCTAGTAGGCAATAGGACGATGTTCAAGCCAAAAGCACGGTTCTGCGCGGCAAATGGTGTATTGTTGAATTGGGATAGGCATCACATCATCATGGAATCGGGTCTAAGGCATTTTGATGAGAGATATGATCCAGAGTGCTGGGGATGTATGGGTCCTCGCTTGATGGGTATATTAATTCCCCGATATCCAACCACTTTAACGTTGCTGGCAGAGAAGTTGTTCTATCCTGTGCATTATCGAGAGGCCAAACGGTATCTCTGCCAGTCCAGCGAAGCGGGGTGCGCAAAAATAATGAGGAATGCGGTTGGCTATCATATATACGGTAATAGTGTAGCGCACGAGGGTGTGAGTCCAGGCTCACTGGCGGATTGTGTTATGAACAACGTACGGTTGGAAAGAGACGGTAACAGCGCTTTAATAGTGAGGAAGCAGCAGCGAACGGCACTGTAGTATTGCTCATCAGAACACCCTCTCCTCATTTGAAGCTTCACTACAGCATCCATACATGGCAAGTGTCATATGAACATCATTGTGATGTACTCCACCGTGATGCTCATACTGGACAATAGAGTCGTTGCTTATCTGCCATGGATAACTGGAGTAATGTCGGTGTGAACCTCGATTCCAAGTGACAGATAAAAATAGTCGGATATTCTGCTTTAGATACCGCCAATGCCCTACTGGATTGGGAATACGAGTTATCACGTCTGTGCCGACTAAAGCATCGCTCAATGTCGATTCCCAACCCCCTATCATGCGAGAGGTGTATGGATGTATTAAGTCTGTAAAATCTCTCACAATTGAAGCTGCTTTGGAAAGATGGCTACATCTCTGGATAGCTGAAGGAGTATGCGATAACCCCACAGACACAGTATCTGCGCTGTGGCGGCAGCTGGCAATCATTTTTTTCACTTGTGGGAACAATTGCAGGAGCCTGTGATTTGAACACCTGGCAGGAGGCATGCGGGCTGGAATTGTCACTCGATTTCTTGAGTAATCGATTATAACGTATGACTCATTTTTTTGTTGACGGGCCACGCAAAGTGTACGGGTTGGCTTTGTTCACCACAGCAGAGAAGTGCTGACTTGACGAATGCAATATGCCAGTAGTGAATGCTATGAGTCAAATTGCTGACTACAGCGTGCGAAAGAATGAAGCATTTCACGCCATCCGGAGAACGTCAACTGTCCATACATCACATTGATACAGACCAAGGGGTGAGTGCTATCAATGGGACGACGATAGTGGATGTTAGTGTAGAAATATTTCACGGCAACTTCCGCCATGGGCAACTTGCGCTATTGCTACAATCTTAGATAAATTTAGTTCCAATCAAATTAGGCGGGGCTAGTAGTCGCGTGTCGGCTGTCAGTCAAGTATCTGTTTATGCATTCCCTGCACCAACGTAGTAGCACGCATGTCGGCTGTCAGGCAAGTATCTGTTTGTGCATTCCCTGCACTAACGTAGTAACACGCATGTCGAGAATGCGAAGTCAGTTCCGAGCATTTTAGAACTTCATGGCAAAGTGCTCCCTAAATCCTTCAGTACATCATATTTTGGTTGTCAGCAAGTAAAAATATGTTTTTTAAGTAACTCTTCATGGTAGTTGATAGAATTGTGGGGGTGATTGATCAAGAATTTCTGTGGTATACGGTACGTACATACGAAACTCAAGCCTGACTTTATTATCATCATATATCAAAGGATATCATACACAGACCATGATCTGATATCTATGTTACAAAACAGTTGCGATGAGTTCTAATCCCGTTAGGAGTATAGTACTTAGTGACTGATATATATATATATATATGTATGTATGTATGTTTGTTTGTATGTATGTATGTATGTATGTATGTTTGTATGTATGTATGTATGTATGTATGTATGTATGTATGTATGTATGTGTATGTCTTTGGTTGTGCACCTACATATGTACTATTGTGAATAACTTCTAGCTATAAAATAAATACATAGATCATGTACGTTGATATTTAGATATGAGAAGCAATCACACGCGACCTCACAGATATACACTTTATTATTATTAAAATATAAGTATTGCACAAAAGGTATGAAACCGGTTAAAAGTACACAGGGGCAGGGCTACGGGTTCTACGCCTGCCCTACGGTTAGCAGATTTAAAATAATAATAAAAATTCTGTCCAATTTTTTTTTTTGATTTAGAAGGCTATGAAATTTCTCGAGACTTGTCCCTCGACGAGAGAGTAAATATAAAACGTCATCAATATTAGACACTCATTCGCCATCAACATGGTAACCAATTTGTTTCTAAAACAAATTACTCGATGAATATATGTGTGGGGTTGAGAATTGATATATTTATCGATTAGCAAAGCAATATGCAGGCTCATTTTAAGTTATAGCTAAACTAGGTCGTGGTGTAATAAGTCGTCATATACGCAACTGAGAATGGGTGACAACTGTAACTGGACAGCCCGCTATACGGGGTTGGCGAATATTAGAAATCAGGTAAGGTTCAGTATACTAATAGAGGGGTTGGTTCTTAAACAAGCGAAAGAAATATATAAGCGTTCACGACCTCGATTGATTTAGACTTGCGGGACGAAAAATTAAAAACAATGCCAGCTATATGGCGATTATGTATCTTATTAAATTGCGATACTATGAACTTATACAACAGCTCCATACCTGCGCCCTACGTGAGGGCTTTTCGCTGACTGTGATGATTGCAGGAGAATGTGGTTTGGGCAAGTCCACGTTGATAAATTCCATGTTCAACGCGGAAATATTTGAACTAGGGAAGGTATGATGGAAAATTCGCTGATACGCGAATGATATCGATACTACGTATCTGTTTACGAGTCTATTCTGCCACAATCTAAGTTGTTCTCTGTTTCGTTGAAAGATATATATACCACTGTGATTGGATTTGGCCAATTGCTCGTCTTCGTCAAAGTGACTGAAGTGTTGGCCTACAAAGGTAGAGGAGATTGAGTTTGATGAGGACATGTCCCGAAATATGAGTGCTTATTTTTCCAAACATACATGGATATATATATATATATATATATATATATATATATATATATATATATATATATATATATATATATATATATATATATATATATATATATATATATATATATATATATATATATATATATATATATATATATATATATATATATATATATATATATATATA